CCCGCTCTCATTGGCTATCGCGGGTATCACATCAGAGGCAGCCAGATCAAGAGTTGGAAATATCAAACATGTTTAAGCTGCGGAGACAACCACGACGGCAGATATTTGTCTCGCCGAGTGATGGAGGGACTGTTCGGCATAGAGGTAAGCGGGGAGGTGTACGACAGCGGTTGAGGAAAAATATTCCAGCCCTGCCCTCTATGATTTTGCTAAATGCTAGTTCGCTACGAAATAAAATGGATGAATTTTGGATTAATTCTACGGCCCGTTATGAATATCGGGAAGCATGCATCATGGCTGTGACAGAGACGTGGCTTCAGCCCGACGTCCCCGATGCTTGTGGTGCGTGTGGACAGAGATCTGGCTTGGTCAGGAAAATCCTGCAGCTGTGGGGTTTGTGTCTATATTAACGATCGGGGGTGTGGCTGTATTACTATGAGGAAATCTATCAGTGACAGAGATGTTGAGCTGCTTTGCATTAGCCTACGACCCTTTTTTTGCCACGTGAGTTTGGCAATGTTGTCATCTGTGTTGTTTATGTGCTATAATTGGACAGACTCTTTCTGAATGTAGGTATACCAGTATTGGAGTTCCCCAGAGGTGTGTATGTTCACCATTGTTATTTACACTGTACACCAATGAGTATAGGAGTCACTATCCTGGGAATGTTGTTGTTAAATTTTCAGATGACACTGCTAGTCTTGGTCTTCTGTATAGGGATAAGGGCATTCAGCATTATGCCACAGAGATTGCCAACTTCGTTACATGGAGTAAAGAACACAATCTTGTGATCAATGTTAGAAAAACTGAGGAAATGACTTTTGACCCTAAGTTGATGGGCAACCATTCACCTATTATGATTGAAAATGAGCCCATGACAGGTTATCTCATACAAATACCTAGGTCTATTTATTGATGACAAACTTTCATGGGAGGTGCATGTAGATTATCTGTGTCGGAAGGTGCAACAAAAAAATTACTTTTTACGGAGTCTCAGACTTTTGGGGGTTACACAGAGGGTTATGTTAATGTTTTATCATGCCTGTATTGAGTGTGTTTTGTTGTAGGGCATAGCGGCCTGGTTTGGTAGCCTGACAGTCACCTTTAGATCTCAGCTGAACCGCTTGGTGCATACTGCAATGAAGGTGGTCGGTATGGGGGTTTATCCGCCTCTACAATCTACTTTTAGCAAAATTGTTCTCAGGCAGGCAAGGAAAATGACTCTGGACCCTTGTCATGTGCTTTATACAGAATTTGAACTACTTTAAATTACCGCACTCAGAGGTTCAGATACAAACGCTATAAGAATTATTTTGTTCCTTTGGCAACAGGATTGTTAAACTCAAATGTGAAAGCATAAGGACATGATTGCTTACAAATGCAGGAATCTTGTTACGTGGTCTATCTGTATTGCCCAAAACTAATTTCCCTTATGAGGGATAAATAAAGTAAATAATAATAACACTAGCGTTAAGCCATTCGGCAAAGCCGGCCCAGGCTCACGTAGATAGCAAACACACGGTCTCACGGCTCTCTGGAGCAGCAGCAGTACTTATGTCTTGGCAATAGATCTGCTTGTTCTGGGGGTTTTATCTTTTATATTTCTTCTGCCTTATATTGATGATTTTAAGCATATTATTGTATAGCAGCAACATACATATTTAAGTGTTTTGTTTTCTTCTTCCAGCTTTGTTGGGGGGCTGTTTTATGCTATTTGTGCAGCAGCAGTATGTCTTAAATACTGTATTGCCAAATACATTGGCAGTAGCAAGTTCCTGTACTTGCTTGGGTTACCCCATTGACTGCGTTTGAGAAAAAAAAATTAATATATGGTGTGACATCATCAGGTCACATGACCAGAATGTTATATATACTGTATCTCCAAGATGCTTCAAGAGACCTACCTGCAAAGCTACCAGAAAAACTATGCACATCTATTACTTTGCAGGTAGGTTTCTTGAAGCATATTGGAGACATTGCTGCAGTTCTTCTGGATTTAGTCTGTCTCAGTTTGTTCTGTTTTTTATCATGTCATTCCAGACAGACTGGATAATGATGTGATCAGATCTCTGTGTGGAGCACTGTCTGTTGTCAGACTACTTGTGCAAACAAAAATCTCACTGGATTATTAAAATTAATGGCAAAATTAATGTTTGAAAATGTAAATAACTGACTTAAAACATATATATATATATATATATATATATATATATATACACAGTATATATATGTATATATAAATGATTGAAAAAAAACTATTTTAAAACCACCAAAGACATATTTCCACAAACAACTGCATGAGAGAAAAATGTGTGAAAATGTAAAAAAATAACATAAAACATATATATATATATATATATATATATATATATACAGTATATATATGTATATATAAATGATTGAAAAAAAACTATTTTAAAACCACCAAAGACATATTTCCACAAACAACTGCATGAGAGGTGACAAATGTTTATGATTATAATACAGTGGGTGTTGAAATATGAGGTCACATGACCAGGAAGTTATATATTATGAATATTTGAAAAATTCACCAAAAATAGCTTACACAAAATCATATTTCCAAAATCCAAGTCATGTATGATGTGTTAGAAGTGTTAATGAATATATTACAGATACCATAACAACACCTATTTCTACCAGTTAAAAGAAAATGTTGGAATGCATTGTAATAACAATGTAACAATTCATAGTGAATATCCCATTCATAGCTAAAAATATTGTATTAATGTTTTTCAACTTAACTCTTAAATGCATTAATGTTTCGCCAATAATTATTACATATTCGGGTCTTTAGGACCCGGACCTATATATCCAGCACGGATGGAACTCTAACTGCTGCAATAGCAAAAAATTATCTTGATATTTTAAGAACAATTACAGAAGAATAAAATAAAGCATGTTTCCTTTCCTTTTGAAACGTAAAAGGGTTCAATTTGAGCAGATGATTTTACCATTGCTGTCATCGTCAGAGTGACAGTACATTCAGTACATGTGACAGTTCACCATCCACAGTACATTCAGCATCTGCCTCACATTCACTATCTCAACCATATTCTCAAAACTATCGTTTTCAATGACTTCATATTCAATATTTTGATCACTGGCAGCTTATTCACCACATCCAGCATCAAATGACAGTGACATTTATATTTCATTGTGTATAGTAATTGCTCTACAGTAAAGCCATTTAAACCAGTTCAATTTTTGCTGATGATATTCGTTTGTATTGTGCCTGCGGTAATGAGTGAAACATCACGTCATCATTGTGTATCAATCACCTTGAGGAAAAAAGATGCATTGCACAAATTGAGTTATCAGATATGTAAATATAGTCGAGTAGGAAAAAATACTAACACATTTACATACCTCGAGTCTGTAGCGACCCTATACACTTTTTACAAACAAATTAATCAGAAAACAGGCATTATTTTATATTTTACTATTTGTTTTCTTGTTATATTGTTTACAATGAATAGATTGAGGAATACTAAGAAAGTTGATGTCTAACTTTAAAAAATTAATGAGGGAGAGGGTAGAGAGTGATGTCCCGGGTCGCTAAAGACCCGAGATACGCATTTAAGGGTTAATTCACATCTTTACATTTAATTGTATGATGCTTTGCATGTTTTCAAATCTTGGAATGCATATCTTTTTATCATTTTCATGCACTTTTGAGACAGTCCCTTAATTTGCTCTGCGAATGTCTGACGAATACCCAACATGAAACCAACTTGAACTTTACTGCACAAAAGCAGAGGAGGTTTTGGACAACTATGGTAATCCCCAATTCACTTTACTGTTCTGTTCTAAGTTGTATATATTGAAAGCAATGTCCTGCCTCTGAGACTACCATTGCCTGTCTAATGGGACTCTCTCTGGGACTCTATCTGGGACTGTCTGTGGGACTCTATCTGGGACTCTCTCTGGAACTCTATCTGAGACTGTCTCGGAAACAGCCAGTGCATGTGTCACTGCTACTGCCTGTAATATCTATGAGACTTCCACCTTTTTGAACTGACATGCCTCTGAGATTGCCAGTGTACTGCAAAAATCTGCAAGATTGTCTACGCAACTAATTTTGCACAGTTTGCTTTAAGGTTGCCGTCTTGTTTTTCAACAAACCTGAACCAATGTCATTAAATGATAACACAGCTGTGTGGCAGTCATGATTTTGGAAAAATTGTTTGGTCACACAATAAATATTGAAATTATTTGTTGTTTAGTTCATACTTGGTTAACATTGCCATCGTTTTAAATATGTAATAATTAATTTTTATATGAATTTGTAAAGTTTGTAAAGTTGTAAAGTAAACAATAAATTCTATCCACCTCTTTTTTTCCCATAAGAGTGGGTGTGGCCATTTGTAAATTTTATCGGCCTGGCTTTCGGTCTCATCCGCATCCAGCTATTTTTAGCTGTACAAAACATCTCGTTTTGCTGCATGATATTGCAAATTGGTGTGTCTTACCATATTATTGTAATGTATTATCTTAATTATGAGCACATTTGTTTGTAGTGCTAACAGTTTTACCATTTACTGCACGTTGTTATTATTCTCGTTATTTCCCTATAGTGGATAATGAATCAGAAGTCTCACCCAAGCTTACTTCCGCATTAAAGAAAAAGGTGGATACATAAAAATGGCAAAAATAAATTATAAAGCCACGGCAAATGTTTTAATAAGGCAGTTTTATTGTGATCTTCGTATAACAAAAATGTTTATCAGTTGTTTTAATTAAAATCAACTTCAACACTTTAAGTTTAATCGTTAGCTCGAATAAAAATCAGTGTAATAAAAAAAAAACATATTCAGGATAAAATCATTGTTACAAGAACCTTTAGGAATCATTGTGTTAAAGGATAAGCCCTTAAAGCATCATAAGGAATAAAACAATTTAATTCCATTCTTAGTGTTTAAATAATTGATCAGTAAATTATTAACCAGAAATCATTCTAAAAATGCTGACAGCTCAAAAAAGTCCCAAAATCTCATCCCTCATAAAGAGCTCAGGAAAAACCCGCTACTTGTTAACTGGCCTTTTCCTCACATACACACAAAATGTGTAACCAGTGAGATATTTCTGACATTATGAAGGGGAATTGTCGTAGACAGCCCAATGAGCCCCAATGGAGGTTAGGGCAAATCCATTCTGACGACCGCTGATGAAGCGCAGTTCACTTCCATCGTGGGTTGGGTAGAAGTTGAATGAAATTCCGTAAGGCTGCCCCACTTTAAAGGAGCGCCCCTCGTTAGTGACAAACATAAGCTCACTGATGTAACCAGAATAATACTTTCCTGAGATCTGAACAAAATGTTCATTGTTGAAGAGTGTCATCTCTTTTTCATTGCCATATGAGTTTATGCCAACCAATTCTGTCCAGTTACTGTTATACATCAACTGGATCCTAAACAGATAAATATGCACTTTACTTTTACTGATAAAACAGATAAAGTATGCATATTACTTTTAAATAATTCAGAGCTAAATATCATACAACTAGACCATTAAAAAACAAGACAGAATATAAAAACAGAAAATAGAATGATAATATGCTGTTTGAAATATAAAGTGTATAATTTGTGGCAAAATAGTCTTATGTGAGGTAACAAGTATAATAATTACGACAGATCAGGTTCTTATAGACTTGATAAGAAGATATTAACCAGTGTGTGACTATCTAGTGGTGTTTGGGGAAACCTACCCATTGAGGTAGTTGTTGTAGTAGTATCCATAGTGGGGATATTCATAAACTCTGACTCCAGTGATGCGACCCTCGTGTGCAGTGGAAAATTCGGTTCCACTGCCATCCCCAGCAGCAGGGGAGTATGAGTAAAAATCGGGTAAAGCTGAAAAGGTAATAGATTATCAGATGTAAGTGATCAGCTGTTTTGTTTTGTTTGTTTTTTTCCCAATTGGAACGCTTTAGTTATACAGCTCAACAATCCATTGTTATGCTACTTTTAATGCCTAATTCTAACAGTGTGGTCCAAAATAACAGTAAGCACTTGATGCATAATCAGTTAGTCAGTGTTGATTTATTTATTGCACCATAATTGTATTGAGCTTAGTAGTTAGTAATACTCACGCATGGTCATGCTCATGGCACAAAGGGCAGAGAGTACCAGAAAATGATGCAGCATTTTGAATTGTTATCTGTCCACTGCTCTCTGAGAATCTAGATGGAAAATTGTAGATTGCTATTTTTAAGACATCAGATAGTGCTAAATTATAATTATTTTTTTTAAAATAAACATATCTAGTTTTACTGTATTCACAAATAAATAAATACATACATGTACATGTATAGATAATAAAAAAACATTTAAGATTATTTATTCATGATGTAGAGTATTATATTTTTAATTGTTATATGATGCCATTACCTAGTTGAGCCTGAGAGGGTGTTCCTTGAGTAGGATGGTTAAACCAAGCCTTCATTTATACTCTCTTGCTGGTCCAGCCTCTTCTTTTCATTCATTTAGATGAGGAATGTTTTGGAACGTTTTTGGAATGTTTTTTAAGAGTATTTCTGGAAGGAAAATATTTAAGAAGGAATTTCCTTTTTGTTTGTATCATAAGTCAACTGACACATTTTTGGGAATAAATAACTGAATGAATACTACTATCAGATAATTATCAGAACTAGTATTATATGATGTAAAAGGATATTTTTCCAGTAAACCTTTTCAAGTAAAATATTTTGTGTTCTAAAATATTTTGAACAACTGAGCATTACAAAACTTCACAGGTGATTAAAAACAAAGAAAAGAAGTATGACAGGTCTAAGCTGATCAGATGTGTTGATCAAAACTCTATTTTTATCAAAATATTAAAATGAATAAAAAAAAATTCTTAATCATAATAGCATTATTAACCACAATGCATTATTAACTACCCCCCCCCCCCCCCCC